CCTCTGCTGTTAACTTTGGAGGATCTGGGCTCGATTTTTACTACTAAAGCTGTGGCTTTATTGAAAGCTCTGTGAAGATTCTGGTCTCCTGTTTCCTCCATCCTGATCTCTTTAAAGGAAACAAGTCAGAGGGTGTTTGGGACGCTCAGAACTACACGGCAGAGGGAAATACGGCCCACAAAGAACAGAGTAGGACCTTACCTCCCTCATTTGGGATATAATACCTTCAATAATACAGTCTACAATGACATTAACTTTTAGAGCATCTGCAGTAGACTATGAGCTCCCTAAAGGCACGGATTGTCTCTTGTGCATCTCCATATCCCCGGCATGTGACAGGCATGTAGTAAATGGTTCTGGTTAAATAAGTGCATCTCAGCAGCGACTCCCAGGGAGGATGCAGCTAATGAAAGCCCCGGGGCCTTTCTCCACTTGCGCTGTGACCTAATCCTTACTTAGGCAGTTGGGTTGGGGACTGCAGGGCAGGATGCACCATTTATCCCTATTAAACCACATCTTGTCGGGAACAGCCTCTCCACATCCTTTGGCAAGCTTGGAGGAATGGGCCAAATCACGCTGGTGACCCCAGATCAAGGTCCCAGATGAGCACCTCGTTGCCGCCAAGGGGAGCGCAGACTTGTCAGCGGAACGCCACACCAGCTGGCTGTCTCTTTGTGCACCCGAGCTGAGCAATCTGTGTCTGGCTCAGCAAGCACAGGGTGTAGACGGCCCCCTGCGGCCAGGCCAGATGTAAGTGGCCTGAGTTTGGAAACTCCTGACCTCTGCACCAGTCGTTCCTTTGCACCTGGTTTCGAGAATCCTAGATATTTTGGCCAAGAGGGTTCCCAAAAGGGCCATGGGTGCCTGAGCCCCTGAGCTTCCTTGGGGAAGGAAGGGAAGTCCACTGGGAACTTAGAACCACAATATCTCCTGGTGCCCTCAAGGGACCCCGTGCAAGAACGCGAACCCCCTTTTCCAGGTGGAGAATCTATGGTGAGACGCGGTCAGGCTGTCAGGATGTGGAGTGAAGCCTGGCTCTGGATTTCTGGGTCTTTCCACCATGCCAGGGCCCCGGGCCCAAGTGGCACCACTTTGCAGCTGTGTTTCCTTCCATCGAGTTCCTCTTAGGATGAATTCTGCTCTTTCCAAAATCAAGACCCTGCCCACTCCCGGGTCCAGCGTGCAGCCAGTATCATTGAACAATAACAAAATATTAACAACTACATTTATTGAGCTCCTATTACATGGCACCATGTCAGGTGGTTTACACGTACTGTCTCTGATGTCATCCTACCCTGCCAAAAGGTGCTGGGGCTTTCTCCTTTTCTATACAAGGGAACTGAGGCTCAGCTCAGAGAAGGTGAGGGAGGGAAAATCTAGAACCCTGAACCAGCCCCGCTGCCTGGTCGCGCCCTCCCACAGAGGCCAGCTGTTTGAGAAGGTTCTGAACAAAGCCTCAGCATCTCCAAGAGTGGCTTTCCCCTCCCGAAACCTCCCACAGCCCGTGCCTGCCAGCAGCTGGCCTTCGGTAAGATGTTCAGACAGGCTGATCTTCCCTAGTAATTCATTCAGAAAATATTAGCCAGGGGCCTAAACTATTGGCACCTTCATCATTTCAAAACATCCTCCAGTCTGGGCCAGCGTGAGCAGTCAGAATTGGAGAGTTACTCTGTTAATACTGGCACCAGAAGAGCACACAGACTGAGGGCTATTAAATAATAGGGCGGGTGAGTCCCAGCTTCGGTTAAGCCCTGAGCCAGATCATTGGAAAGAGACGAATCTTGGGGGTTACAGGAGCAGTCACCTAAGCTATGTCCAGCTGGAGCAGACAACTGGAGGCTCAGACAGGGGCTGTGCCCTGCCTGAGGTCACACAGTGAGCGGCGGAGCTGGGATTCAAACGTGGATCTTCTGGCTGCTTCCACAATTGTGGGGTACCCACCTTCCTGCCCGCTTGCCTATGTCTGAGGCTAACTTCAGAATTACCGGATGAGAATTGATCCAACAGGGAACAGCCAGGAGGTCTCGGCAGAAATACGCCCAGAGTGCAACAGCTGAGCAGCCTGGAGGGGTGAGGGGCAAGTGAGAAAGGAGCCGCCTCATACTCCAAGATCGGGGGGCTGCACTGCTCCCCCACACCAACCGTGTGGACATGCTAACCAGAAATGGAAAGTCACTGGTACAACAACGTCCCCACCCCTTAGCCTGGCATTCAAGGCCTCCGCAGCCCAGCCCCAACTTGCCCTCCTTATCTCTCCTGGCCTGCCCTTCAGCCAGCCTGCGCTGCTAGGCTCTGGGAGGATTCCACGTACGTTCCTGCCCTGGTGCCCAGCTGGAATACCTGCCCACGGCTTGCCTGTGCCCACCCCTCCAGAGCAACTGGCTTCCAACCACAGCTCACCCCCTCTGCGTATTTCCTAAGCAGCCCCTCCTTGGGCCTTTAGAATACTTGTCACCTCTCCACCCATGTTACACATTATCACAATGATGTTAATAAAAAGCAGCAGCCACCTTTCCTAAGGCCAGACTCCAGGCTGGGCTCTCCACGGGCATTACTGCAATTTGTCCTCACAATAATGCTCCCAGCTGAACAGCATTACGGCCATATGACAGATGGGGAAACTGAGGTCTTATGAGCTGCCAAAGCCACATAGGTAGGAACTAGAACCCAGGACTCTACAGCCAAGACTCCCAACATGTAAGCTGCCTGTGACTTGACTTGGTTAGTTATCACCAAGTGTTTCTATTGTTGTTTCTGGATACGTCAGGAGGTCTCTGAGGGCTTGGAAGTTTGTTGGGCACCTTCTGCCACATTCCTAGGATCTAGGTCTTATCTTGGGAATGAGAAATACAGGGACAAAAAAGCCACAGTCTCTGCCCTCAATGTGCCCCAGCCTGTTTGGGAGACAGACCCACAAAGACACAAATCACCTGACAACTTGAGATGGGCGGTGTGCAGGGCTGGCAAGCCCAGGAGAAGGAGCTTCCAGCCAACTTCGCCTAAGATGGGAACCTGTGACAAATTTGTTCCATGTGGTACCCTAGGAACCTGGCATGTCACCTTGCATACAACAGGTGCTCTTTGCCTGCATTGGTGGTAATGGCTGAGCACACAGCCCGAGAAAGCCCCAGAATGGCCATTAGCTGACTTCCAAGTTGGTCGTCTGGGGTGCTTTCAGTTTCAACAAGCACGGGTGACAATGGGAAGAACTTGCAGCAGCACGACAAGAAGACCTTAGGTGACTAAGCTCCTCGCAGACAGAAGTGGCTGTTCATGCATCTAGGTGACCCCGGTGGGCCCTCGCACTGTGCCTCACACTGAGAGGAACCAGATAAATATTGCTGATTGATGATAGAGCCTTCCCCTGTCTAGGGACAAGCAGTCTCAGATGGCCACTGAGGACATGAGGGATGGTGTGTCCTAAGGTCTCTCAATCTGTCCCTCATTCGTCATCTCCCTGGTTGCTAAAAATACACAGAATCTGCATTTTCTCTCTCCTTAGGTCCAAAGGGCCAGAATGCTCAAACCTGCCCAGAAACCCTTGAGAAGCGGCACGATGCTTCCCTTTTCTCACCTTTCTCTCTCCGCCCACCACCATCCTAGGGTCAGACGCAACTACTGAGCCTGCAGAGTAGCAAATGTCCCCAAGGGGTCAGGCCCCAGGCCTCAGATACTCCTGAAGCTCAGGAATGCTGTCCCAGACATCTTGTCTCAGAGTATATGACAATGACAGACCCAGCTCAGGAGGTGCCAAAGGAGATCACGGACTCAGACCCTCATCTGTGGCTCCAACCTTGGGCTAACTTCCTCATAGGAAGAGCCAGGTGCTTTCTTAGCAGCATCCTCTGCTCCCTATGGTCACCCCCGCTCTTTCTTTGCAAACACCAAGCATTGCCCGTTCCAAAGCAAGTGTCCAGACTCCACATGGAAGAGCTGTGAGTCCCAGAGTCTACGGAACAAAGTCATAAGCTTTCCCTTCACCCGGCTCCAAACTCTTGCCCTCCCTCCCTCTGACCTCCCCCAAGTCCTGAGTCACAGCCACTGATGGGCAGTGGCCCTGTGGATAGAGAGGGGTTCCCAGGGCTCCCCTCCCTCAATTTCTTCCTCCAGAAGGTCATTTTCCCTGGCTTTCAGCAGGGCACCTCTGAGCTCATCTCAGCAAAAGTAGCAGGACTGGGGTGGTCTGGGCACTCTGGGGACAAAGCTCCTCAGGGTGGAGCTGGGCTTAGGGTTCAGCACCTGACTTGCAGGCTGCTTCCCCCAGCCTGGCATCCCACCCTCCTCCTGACTGACCATAGGTGACCTCTGGGTGCTCGTGCCAGGGCAGGTGCATAATCTGACTAGCAGCCTGGCTGCTCCACTGGAGTCTTATCAGCCTCTCTCCAATTCCACCCTGCAATGTGGCCAGGACTTTCACCCCAATCACCCAGGCATCCTGCCTCGAGGACCAGGCCAGCTCTTGGCACCTACCGACCTGATCCCGCTAAGGCTGAGCACGCCGACCCCTCCAGCAAAACAACTGCCAACCTATTCCAGGGTCTCTGTCCCAGGAGTGCGGGGCCTCCCGGGGTGCCTTGAGGGAACACAAGTCTTCTATCCCTTCCTGGCCCAGAAGTCCCTGCCTCAAGGCTCAGAGTGCTGGATTTAGGGTCACCATGTGCCTCACTGTCACATCCCACAGACTTACGGTGCTCCTGCAAGAGCCCTCCAAGTCTCCGCTTCCCTTCCTGAGGCCCATCAGGCCAAGGTTCCTGCCCCAACGTGGCGCCCCAGATTCTGTCTTTCCACCCACGCGCCTATCGCTGTCCGAGGTCATGCCTCGATTTCACTCTTCCACTGAACATTCCGATCCTTCTTTTTCTGTGAGCCGTGTCCAGCCCCTTCCTGCACCCCAGACTTGCCACCATGTCTCCTCGTTCTCCTCCCATGTGTAGCCCAGCTCCTGTCCCGGCCACCGCTGCGGACAGGTAGCCCCCCAAATTCAACCCCCACAGCCCCACCAGGCGCTCACCGCCGCCGTTCTTGTAGCAGAGGTAGGGGAAGCGCCACACGTTGGCTAGGTCCACCGCGAAGCCGACCACTGACAGCAGGAAGTCGATCTTCTTGCCCCAGGTCTCCCTGGGCTGCGCGTCGCCGCCGCGGGGCGCCAGGAGGCACTGGACGCCGTTGCGCTCCTTCACCACCAGCAGCTCCGCAGTTTTGCGCGCCCGCAGGGGCTGCTCGGGCGCCAGGTCCTCCCCGCTGTTCTCGGGCTGCACCTGCGGGTTCATCCGCGCCAGAAGCATGGGTGCGGCTGGCGAGAGGGACTTCATTGGTCCCCAGGGCACGCCGAGCCTCTGCTTGGATAAAAGGAAAAGAGGTGGTCACCGGGCCGTTCCTCCCCGCTTGCGCCTCCTGGGACGCCCCAGGAGCGCCAGGGACACTAGGATCAGCACGCGCTGAGCGGACACCAGCTTGCCAGGAAAGGGCGCGCGTCTGTTGGAACACAGAGGTTGTGCGCGCGACTGGGACGGAGCTCGGAGTCGGAGACCGCCCTGCGGGTCCTGCCGAAGACCCCGCAGCGCCCTCCCTCGTTCACCCGCGCTCTCTCGCCCCCAAACGGCGGGGTTTGGACGCACCGAGGCAGAGGTTTCCCAGGGCTGTGACCGGGCCCGGTGCAGCGTGCCGCACCCCTCCCCAGCTCAGGTCTGCGCCACCTCGGCAGCCCCGGGCGCCTTCCCGGACACTTACACCTGTGCACTACAAACTTGCTGCCACTCGGGCTCGCGCGTCCCGGCCCCGGCCTCCCCAGGCCGGTCACGCCTAGCTCGGTCCCGCGCGCAGGGCGCACTGACGTGTCCGGCGGCGAGGCTGTCCCGGGTGCGGTGCGCCCTGCCTGCCCCCGACCCGCCGCGCCTTGCGGGGCTCTGGGGCGCGGCCTGGGGCTGAGCTCCGCCGCGTGGCGCTCGGGCGCGGCCGGGGAAGCGCTGGAGGCGCGGGGCGACCGGCGGGGCGCGGGCTGGCTGGGTCTGGCCGCACCGGGCGGGGGCCGGGCCGGTAATGTAGCCTGCGCCCCAGGTAACGCGCCGATTGCATTAGCCCAGCGCCCGGCCCGCTCCGTCTGGAGCCTGTTAGCGCTAATGGAGACTGACAGCCCGGCCGGGGGTGGGCAGGGGCGGGAGCGCGGCGCGGGCCCGGGGGCGGCGGGAGTCGGGCTCCCGGGGACTCGAGGACCCAGGCGCGCACTCCCTTTGCATCCCGAGACAGGGCCGGGCACGCCGCTCCCAAGGACACCAGATTCTGCCCTCCGAGCGCGGGAGGAGAGCGACCGACTCCCAGAACTGGGGTCTGAGTTCCGTCAGACAGGGGACCCAGAAAGGACAGCGGAGGGGGACGGAGGCAGACAGTGACCAGTACAGCACCGGCTCTGTCATCCGCTGCAGGCCACTTAAGCTACCTGGCCAGAGTTTCTCCATCCACAAAATGGGAATATCCTGCTCGGTGCCCTGCACTGCACACTGGTGGCCAGCGGGCTGTTGGGCGGTTTTAGTGGACTGGTTTAGCGTGTTGACGAGTCAGGAACGAACCCAGGACTCATTCCTACATCTCTGTTCGTTACGGGGCAGGCGGGCAGAGCATTTGAGATTGTGACCCGTCTTCTATGAGGCTGAGAACTGCTATTCGCTCGTTTATTCATTCATGCATGCACCCCTTTACTCGCTGGTTCTTACACGTGCCTGCCATGTGCCAGGCACTGTTCTAGGCGCTTGGGGTACGTTAGCGGACAGCACGCTCAGATTCCTGACGTCCTGGAGTTTACATTCTGTGGTGGGAGACAAGGAGACACAGGAAACATGCTAAATGAACGCATCAAATGTTAGGTGACACGGTGACACGGTGACACGTGCTATGGGGAAAAGTAAAGTGTGATGAGGGAAAGGGGTCAGTGGGGCTGCAGTTTAAATAAGGGGTCAGGGAATCTGAGAAGGTGGCAGTTAAGTACAGCAGAGAGCCATTTGGACCTGGTAGCCATTCCTGGTTATTTCTCTGCCTCGTTCATTCACCTGTTCGTTAATTTATTCATTCATCGAACAATGCCAATCACCTGCTGTATGCCCGAGCAGTGTTGGCTGGGGGGCTGGGGGGGATAGTCCCTGCCTTCCAAAAGCTCCCAGGCCAGTGTGTAAAGAGTCGATCACAACCCAGTGCGGTAGGACTGGTGGTGACCAGGAACCTGTGCAAGTTGGTAGAGCTGAATCTGCAAGAAAGGGTTGGGTGGTGAGCCAAGGAAGCCTCGGAGAGGCGACAGAGCTTACGTGGGATGGGTGGGAGTTTGGATCAGCCCAGCCACACCCGCCTTTCCATTCTTTAAACATTCCAAGCTCTAACCCACCCCAGGACCTTTACACATGCTGTTTCCCCTGCCAGAGTTGTTCAGGTCTCAGTCCAGAGGTCCCTTCCCAACCACTCAAGTCTAAAATATACCCATTCTCCATCATATCACCCTATTTTTTCCCTTCATTACATCACTATCCAAATTTATCCTCTTTATTGGTTTGTTTATTTTATGTTTCCCCTAGGGTGGCACATGAGCTCCAGGAGGGCAGGGATCTTGTCTGTCCTATACAACTAGGGCATCAGTGAGCATGCGAAGTGAATGAATGAATGGCGGGGCACGGGGGTGTTCAGAGCATTTGCACCAGAGGGACCAGCACGACAAATGTCCTCTGAGCAGGACACAGAGGGGAGAAGAAGGGAAACCTAGAGGAATGGTGGTTCTTCCCGGGCCTTCTGGGGGCTGATGACAGGAGGAAGGTCAGGGAAAGGACAGAGCAGAGGTTTCAGGACAAGAGCCCGGAACCGCAGGTTCCCACACATGAGGGGTGTTTGTCTCCTTTGAGCTATGGCCCATCGCGACAGGCCTTTGAGGAAAGCAGGAACAGAATCATCTTTCCATTCAGCAGGTCAGAAAACTGTGGCTCTGAGGGTTCAAGGGACCTTTCTGAGGTTGGAAGTGACAGAATTGAAATGAGAACCCAGGTCTCCTGTTTCCCTGCCTCTGCCCCCTCCACCAACTTATGGATGGGGACACTCGGGATCTCTCTAGCAGTCATGTTCCCCTCCTGTCCTCTACCCACGCCCCATCCATCTGTTATCAAGCCCTGGCCACCCCTCCCCCTAAACACCCAGAGAAGCCCCCTGACCCCCACTGCTGCAGGACCCTGTGGGGATCCCTCTATCTTTTTTGTTGCAGCAGCCTCCTAGCTGTCACCCTGTGCCAGGTATCTTTCTTTCCAGCCATGTGATTGTCACCAGCTGCCAGAGCTCTTTCTAAAACTCACGGCTGACCGCCTGGTATCTCTGCCTAAAACTCCTCTGAGACACCAGCACATCCATGTGACTTAACCCTGGATTACGAGTAATTTTCTTTTCTTCTTTATAAGACTTCTCTGTATCTGCCCACTTTTCTTCAGTGAGCATTTAACACATACAATCAGAAGAAGATAACTCACAATTTTTTTTTTCTTTGAGACAGGTTTTCTCTCTCTATTGCCTGGGCTAGAGTGCAGTGGCATCATTATAGCTCACAGCAACTTCAAACTCCTGGGCTCCAGGGATCCTCCTGCCTCATCCTCCCAAGTAGCTGGGACTACAGGTGCTCACCACCACACCTGGCTAATTTTGGTATTTTTTGTAGAGACGGGTCTTGCTCTTGCTCAGGCTGGTCTCAAACTCTTGGCCTTAAGCAATCCTCCTGCCTCAGCCTCCCAAAGCTCTAGGATTATAGGTGTGAGCCACCACACTCAACCCACCCACAATTTGTAACAATCTTTCCAAGACAATGTCTAGACACCTTCGGTAATACAGACAAGACTCTGCCTGTTTATTTAACCACATCTTCTGCTATTCTAATTCTCTCCTTTTTTTTTCCCCTATAAACCCTTTCCTACCTCCAAAATATCCTTTATCCTCTAGCAACATGGGAGATACCCAACTACTGGTGGTTCCCTGAACACCTTGTGCTTTTTAACACTTGTGGATTTTTAAAAATATTCCATCTTTCTTTTTTCTACCTGGAGGACTCCTATTCATCTTCCAAAGCCTCCGATGTCACCTCCACTGTGAAGCTTTCCCTGATAACTGCTTCCTACAACAGAGTCAAACTTCTCTTTTATACTGCTTTGTATATTTGTCTAGTACAGTTACATGTGTGACTTCCCTGCCAGGGACAAGGACAGTGCCTGATATATCCTGTTGCGTAGATGGTGCTCCAACAAATGTGTACAAGGCAGAACTAGAAGAGATCTTGTTCTTTGATCGGGCTTGGTGCTCTGGCTGGGGTTGTTTGATGTTGGATTCCTCCAGAAGCAGACCCTGAAACAAAGATTTGAATGCAAGTGGTTTATTTACGAAGTGATCCCTGCAGGCACTGGAAGGGGAGTCGGGGAGGTAGACAGGAAAGGGGAGGAAACCAACAGAGGGTGGACTAAGGAGCAGTTACTTGCTGGGGGCAACTGGTGTCCAGTCCCACTGGGGACCTCTGGGAGATCGCACAGAGCATGCTTCAGAGCTATCTCACTCAAGGGGCAAGGAAGCTGGAGTGTTTATCCATGAAGGCTGCCCCAGGGTGTCACCTTCCGAGCATGTCCAGCCCGATAAGCAGATGAGCAGAGTCCCGGGTACTGGCAGCAGGACGATGTTGGGTTGGGTCTGTGTTGGCAGGAACAGTGGATGACGAGGGGTGTGGGCAGGGCCCGGGAAGTGTTCCCTACAGGGGTGGAGGGAGGCACCTCCCCCCCAGTGTGTGCACACCATCAGTGGGCCGATGGGCAAGTCCTGAGAGCCCCACCTCTGCTTTCTGAGGCTGCCGGGGTCCGCAGTGCAGACACCAGGCTGGGACCGTCTCTCCATCTCCAGCCCAGACTCCCTGCCACGACGGGGCCATGTGGCTTCTCTAGGTGCCCTGCTTCCTGCCCTTCCGGGTGGCCTGAGGGCAAGTTGTACACAGGAGGCTGGAGCATTAACAGAGCTGATGTGATCTTAGCGAGGCATCACTTCCACTTACCAGGCACATGGTGACACAGGCCATGGGGTACAAGGCACTGGCTGGCTCTGCGAGTGTGGCTCTGGCCACCTCCCCACAGACACCACGGCCCTGGCACACGAAGGCTGGGCTGGCACTCGTTTGGAACCCCAGGGGCTGGTCCTGAGGACACTATCAGAACCAACACCTCCATTGCACCAGTGGGAAAACTAAGGAAAGAAAGGAGGACACAGTGACATATTTGACTGAATATTGGTCTCTCTCTCTCTCTCCCTTCCCTCTCCCTTCCTTCCTTCCTTTCTCTTGCTTTTT